ATTCGTAATTCAAAGTTTTATTGTTGAAAATTCACTTTTTAACTCACAAATAACTTGTCAATACCAATGACAGATTATTGAAATCATCTGTGTTGTACGTTTGTCAGTCACGCGCCTATGGACTTACGGCAGCGCTTGTCCCGCAAACGAGCGCGAGCAATCAAGAGAGATGGGTTACGAGGTCGTTGCTGTGTCTGTAGTAACTGCCTTTTGGGCAGTTGTTGCTATTGTATTGCCAATTATATTTGGTAGGGGACCAAATAAAGGGTGAGTAACTTTCTAATTACTGAATGTCTGATATTTGTGCGAGTTTAGATATAGGAACATTTTTCATATTACATCGTAATCATTTAATGTAGCATATCGATGACCTGACTTTCTACGAAGCTACTTATACCTAGTCTAGCGTGATCAAATTTTAATAAGGATTCTTTCACCAATTATGAAAGATGGAATAATAAGTTTATCCTCTTTTGCAGGGTGATCCAGGCTACACTTGTCATATCAGGCTTCAGTTGCTGGTTGTTGTAAGTAATATCGACATTACCTATTCCTTAATCCTTCGCTATTCTGTCATTTTTTACAACACTTCCCCTTCTTTTTAACATCACTTTTGTTGTTTCTTTGTCTGCTTCAAATCTTATAGGTAATCAATATTTAACACACTTCTACTTGTAGTGTAAAGTTGTAGACATTGATATTAGATGGCAGGATTTACTTGTTTACACACGTGCGATCGATGACCAGAGAATTCTTTGATTTTTATTATCAGTGACTCAGACAGTGAGTGGAACTTTTCTTCTGATGACAGTAGGTTAAAAGGCAACTTTCAGGAAGTAATTCTTATTTATTAATGACGTTTTTATAAATTCTGCCCAATATTCCAGATTGTACTAGGCAGGGAATATATCTACCTTTTAATTAATACATATAGCAGAGTAAATCTAGGAGTCAATTCATCTAGCAGAAATTTAGTGGATCTAAAAATTGCAGAGAAAATTCGTACTGTATTGGATGCCAGAGCCCAGAAGCTGCTACATCCATCTTGCAGATAGAATCAACTTCCCTACATCTTATAAAAAAATTACTTGTAATAATAAACAAGATCTTGGCATTTGAAAACATGCTATAAGTGCCAATTTACAATATCTGGTGTATAAACTGTACCAATACTCGATAAATGTACCACACCATTCAATAAAAAAATGTAAACTGTAACTGTAAACTGTACCTTGTCATTCAATATTGTTGTTCCATGTTTCAAATTATAATTTTAATGATCACTCATGATTTATCATCACCATTATTTTTGTGTATGTGATTATCATTTTAATGATCACTCTTGATTTATCATCACCATCAAAAAAATGCTCAGAATTGTCCCTCATTACCTCTTTGATGTTACAGTACTTCAATATTGCATGCAGTTCCTCTTTTATGTGCTATTTAACACAAAAAAATATATGTAAAAATGTTTTGGAGTCCAGCTCCATTGTCAGTTATTATTATATACATGGATGTGCGTGCAGTTGGTTCCTGGCGTACGTGCACCAGATGAACCCACTGATCGGGCCCGAGATGCACGCCACCACCGTCTACGCCATCAAGTATCTCTGGGTGAGTCATATAGTT